AATAGCAGGACCATGGCTCAGAGGAAAGCCCAAATCATGGCCAAGAAGAGAGGCAAAATGTCTCAACAGAAGCAGGGTTGAACATCAGGCCAAAAGATGGGAAATGACTCCAAGCAAATAATTGCAAGATCAGGAGACCCAAACTGTGGTAGCAGTGGAGGAAGCTAAAGGGAAGGTGGGTCAGGATAAGTCATTCCACCCACAGGGGACAGTGTGGAGAGATAGGGAACAGTTGGGTTGATTGGTTGGTCTGTCTGTTATCTGTTTGGTTTCTGTGTGGAATGGAGTCCACAGAAAAGGATGGGCCTGTGGAGGAAGTGGTCTGAGTAGTGCTAGTACACATGGCCCTTAACAGTTCGATTGTGGGAGGCCACCTGATCATCACTCTTCCTGCCCCTTCACGGGGTGCCATCCACAACTGCATCGGTGTTTCTCCACAGATGACTTCTGGGTGAAAGCCAGCTCCATTAGGGAATGTATGCCTCCTTGAACTGCATGAAGGACAGCAAACATGTAGAATAATAGAGCATCTCACTTAGTTCCATTTGCTAAGACCTTCCGCACACCCACCGACTGCCCTTATTCCAAATGAACTCTTGAGCTCTGTAAAGAAGTCCATCAGATGGGTTACAGCAGACATTCTTTTACACCTTACTGTTGTCTTCATAACTGGAAAAATAGGAAAGGTGGCAAATTCCAAAATGTAGGGACTCATAAAGGCAGAGTCTCAGAATTAAGCTTGACATGCAAGATCTGTAAGTTAATGATACTTATATATGAATGATCCTTTCAAAGAGTTAACATTTGAAGTTCCATCGAGGGGAGGAAGCTAAAAGATATTCTTGTACTTTTCTAATGGTTAGTAGGTGGCTTTGCAGTAGAGACAGACACACAGTGATCATTCTCCCAGACTCTGGATTCAAGACAGCTTGAGTTTAAAACCCACCTGCAAACTGCATAGCCTTGAACACATTACTTAACATGGAGCCACTACTCCGTTGACTCAGATTATTCACTTGTCAAGTGGAAAATATAACACCTACTTCAGAGGGTTATTGTGGGTATTCAATGAGATAATGTAAGGCACAGAGCACAAGATCTGGCTCATGGAAAGTGTTCCAGAAGTTTTATTGTCATTATTATCATTATGATTACTCTTACCACCATCATCATTATTACTCTCCCCAATTCTTCAATTACTTTCCCAAGCTTCTGCTAATCTTTTACTTGGACTCTATATCTTTGGCCGTGAGTCACGAGAAGGTTCGTTACATGAAAATGTTTGCCAAAGAGTGTGCTTAAGAAGTTCAGGGTTGGTTGGTCTCTTTGGTTCAAGTATCTAAGGTTAGGGTTAAACTTCACTGCCTTCTTGTTTTATTAATAACGACTTGACATGGATTGTTTATAAAGTTGTGTTTCAAAAATAAGTATTTTATATGAACCCACCTATATTTTCAGCCTAAATTAACTCCCAGTTAATTTACTATTCACTGAGAGAAGCAGTACTGCCTTGATTTGTCCTAAACCTGACTTCCTCAAGGAAGCTCCTTAGTTCTAATTTTTGAACAAAAGAGCATCTCAAGTTTTTTTGTTTTTGTTTTGTTTTAAATAAAAATAAATGATAAAACACCAGGGACCTTTTTTTTTTTTTATCATTCTCAATCTGTAAAGCTAATACTAATACTTACTAGTTAATATAATTGTACCAACCTTTGGTAATCACTTCTTACAGATTGTGAGGTTTTATTTTGGGTATAATCGTTATGGGGTTGTTTTCATGAGTATAAAAAATAGTTTTGGCCTTTATTTACAGTAGATGTTCCTTAAGGTGGTGGTCTCCATCTAGTGGACAAAATATTACATTACATCCTACATAGAAAAAGAACAAAGCCCCTATAATATCCCATACCAAGCATTTTATTGACTTATTAATAAATATTTGGTTTTAATAAGTAGCACTATTATAAAGACTATTAAATATTTTAAGATACTTAGCACTATTTTTTCCCAAAACTTACAGTGAAAAGTTTGAGAAGTTGCTTAACTTAATTGGAAAAATTGTAATAGTAAAAGAATTAACTGATTTGGGGGATGGTATTGGTATTATTCAGTTGAACTGAGAAAAACTAAACCAGGAGTCACTCCTGTATCTCTTATATTTCTACTTATGCATAGCAGTGAAATATATTTTACCTTTTTAAAACAGTAAAAGCATCTGAAGGGAAATAGACATAAACGTTTTCTTACGCGTTCACATTAGGTCCTCTGCATACTGAAAAGCTGCAATGACTGTTGCAATGACTGAAATCTCCCTTTTTCTCTTCCTCTTTAAAGGACTTTAGTGTCTTTCAGTTGAATACTAAATGCCTTCAAAAGCCCTCTTAAAATACTACTATTATATGAAAACTTCTTAGAAGTCTGGATTAAACCCAGCTTGGATTAATCTTATCACCTTTATTTTTGTATCTCAGTGTGCTCATTAGAGGTGCTTAATAAGTGCTTATTTAGTTAAGCATATCCAAGAAGAGCTTGCCTGAGGTCCTGAATAAATCTCTCATGATTGGAGATCCTTTCCCCCCTCTGGCCTTCCTCAAGAATGCCCAAAGTTGGGATGCCTGGGTGGCTCAGTGGGTTAAAGCCTCTGCCTTCGGCTCAGGACATGATCCCAAGCTCCTGGGATCAAGCCCCGCATCGGGCTCTCTGCTCAGTGGGGAGCCTGCTTCCTCCTCTCTCTCTGCCTGCCTCTCTCACTACTTGGAATCTCTCTATCCTGTCAAATAAATAAATAAAGTCTTAAAAAAAAAAAAAAGAATGCCCAAAGTCCCACATGCATGAAATTCCTTGTCCAGGGAAACAGATGTCCCCTGCTTGCATGTCACAGTTGCTAACATACATTTATGGTTTACTAATTATTCATTAGAGCTGGAAGAGCTTCAGGAACAGTAGATGATTAAATCTCGTTAGCTCAGTAACTTTGGCCAATTAACTTTTCTTTTTTTTTTTTAACATTTTATTTATTTTTTTGTTTGAGAGAGAGAAAAACAGAGATAGTGAGAGAAGGCACAAGCAGGGAAGAGAAGGGAGAAGCAGGCTCCCTGCTGAGTGTGGCACTCGATCCCAGGACCCTGCCCAAGGCCAACCCTTAACTGACTAAGCCACCCAGGTGTCCCCAGTTAACTTCTCTAGGAGCTGGTAGCCTGTCTATAAAACGAGTCTGTTCAACTCAAAAACTTCTCATTGTCTTTGGTGACCAAATAAATACATCTATAAAGTGGTGCAATCCTTCAAAAAATTTAAATTGGAAAATTTGTTTATGAATGGCCAAGTTAGAATATGAGTTTTTCTTTCTTTTTTTTTTATTAGATGGATTAATTTGGAGTTAGAATATGAATTTTTCTTTTCTTTTCTTTTCTTTTTTAACTAGATGGATTAATTTGGAGTCAGTGTTTCTTATTTAGTATAGACTCACAGGTGATTTATGAAACATCAAACCCTTCACTTCTACATTGGCCTCCAATCTTGGAGTCATAATACTATTTACTAATAACTCCAATGGAGAAAATAAAAGAATGTTTTTAAATTAGTTACCAGTTTACATAACGTCTGTAATGGGAAAAACATTGATAACAACTAAACTTGAATTCACTTATTTATTTGTTCAACAAATTTTTAAACCACATACTTACTGGGCTATCTGAGCTTTTATAGCCCTCTCATAAGAACACATGAGACTTGACATTAATACTGGTTGATATGTGACTAGAAAAGCTCTTTGTAGAAAGTTTATCTCAATTATAAGGACTATGACATTAAGAACTGTGCATTCGTGATTTTGTCTTTTCCCACCTCTAAAGTCTGTATTGCTCAGCACAGTGTCTTCTAGTTATTCAGTCACCTACACGAACTGCTTAGTAAAGATTTCTGAGTGGCCATGTGAAGTGCTAAGAACACCCAGAGTCTCCATTCTCAGAGAACTCACAATCTAGGAATAGAAACCAAGTGGTACACATTTTCAGTTCATTAAAAATGCGAGGAGCGGGAAGTTGTCTTGGGAGCACAGAGAAAGGCATATCATAAAGGTGTGGGGCATCAGGGCAGCATTTCAGGTAAAGTCTTCAAGGATGAGCAACAATGAGGACATTGTTAGGTAGTGATGGCCTGATTGAGACGAGGAGGTGGTGGTTCATTAAGTGGAACATAAAGTGGCTGATGGGAAAAGGTTGCAAGTTGAGGTTGGGAATATGGTTGTTACAACTGAAAATGGATAGTTCAGACTCTGTCAGTCCACCCAAGAAATTCGGACTTTATCCTGAGGACAATAGTGAACTACTGAAGAGTTTTGAGCTGACAAAGATCATGGTCAGATTTAAACTTTAGGAAGAATCTCCACGAGGTACAGACTGGAAAATGGATTCAAGAGACTAACTTAAAGGCTCTATAATAATGTAGGTAGGAGTTGATGAAATCCTGAACTTAATATATTGGATTTGGGGGTGGAGGGAAATGGATCCAGCAGAAATTCATGTTTGGATGGGTGTAGGTGGGATGGGAGAGAGCCCAGGTTTCAGGAAGTGATGATGTTAGGCGTATAATGGGAACTTGTTGAATTGAATCCAAATCATTACAAGATTGCTATGTATTTGTTCTTTTCCTAAAAGAAATTTAGTAGAACTATTCTTAGTAGAATGGTTCCTTAGTAGAATATACTTAGTAGAACTATTCTTTTTGCACAATGGTTCCTTTTAATCCCCAGTTTAGAGAGACACAAAATAAACAAAAGTACCCTGATGAACAAAAGTACCCTAAACTTAAGGAAGACAAGGATATGAAGCCATGTGTCTTTTTTTTTAACTTTTGTGTGTTTTAATATTATCACGTCTTAATAGTGGATATCAGCTGTCAATGTTCCCACTTTGACTTCCTGAACTGAAATCTGCCTTTACTAAAATACCTGCAAGCAAACATTCATAGCAATGTTATTCCTTCTCCTTCTTTTACAGTTTTGATGTGGACAATGGCACATCTGCGGGACGGAGTCCCTTGGATCCCATGACCAGCCCAGGATCCGGGCTAATTCTCCAAGCAAACTTTGTCCACAGTCAGCGTCGCGAGTCTTTTCTGTATCGATCTGACAGCGATTATGACCTGTCTCCGAAGTCAATGTCCCGGAACTCCTCCATTGCCAGTGATATGTAAGTATAATGATGAGCAAAAGGAAGACGGAACTTCTATAGAAAATCAGGTACACTTATCTGGTCAGTTGGTGACATAATAAAACCAATGATTTTTTTTTAAACTGCATCATTCTCTATGTTTGAAAGAACAGTGAGTAAAATTACATAAGCTGAAGATAAATGGTAGATTTAACTTGAGTACCTTGTCTCTCTCGAAAAGAAACATTTATTTTCCCAGAGAAGACATTATCCGAGAAAAGTGAGAATTAAATGTTTAATGGAAACATTTATACTTAAAATATTAGCTTATATTCAGGACCTGAATTGTAGCTACCTAGCCACATGAACATTTTCTGATATTTCAAAATGCTTCAAACTCCGTTTGAAAACCTTATGATAATAGACTGAATAGCAGTTTGAATATATCTCAGTGGTGTATGGTATAGATGTTTGCACGGGTTTGCCATATCACTTGAGAGAGATTGGGAGGGTTTTGCTAAAATTTAACCATTTTTGGAATATTAATCACTAGAGGCATGCATGGAAACATTGGGCAGATTTGAATGTCATTTAAGACATGGCACAGCTTGGAGAATAATTAAAACTGAGAAGCAAGTTTGCAGATCCTATACCATTATTAACTCATTTTCTCAGAACACTCCATTTTTGTGTTTACTGTAGTGTTCATTAGTTTTCTGATTTCTGGAGGCTCCTAAATAGGAACGTACTCTTACTCAGTAGCTGTGCTATTATTTGTAACTCTGCCCCTGTATAGTCTCGTCTCCACTTTCCTCCTCTTGCATCTGGACGTTTGTTCAATAACACCATCTTTCATGACACCATCTCAAAAACTCAGTACAAGTTGCAATTCATCATAAGGAATTAGATGGTCTGGGGTCTCTGAGGGTCCAGTGTTATTCTTGGTTTGCCAACAGATGGTCAACATATGCCCGATAGGTATAAATGAGGCTCTAGAAATGAAATTGTATTTTACCCATTTCTCACAAGCTGTGGTTCTGGTTGTCATTTTATTAATAGCTGTAAGATGATGATAGTATATTTTTTTCAGGAATGAACAACTAAACTGCAGGCATTTTCATTCAAATACTACAGTTACTAAATACAAATACTGAGTTACTAAACTCCAATTTTGTAGCTATCTCTGTTTGAGGCCTTGCAGGAGATACAAGAAAACTACAAGACAGGGTTCTTCATCTCAGTTAACTAGTCATCTCATGGAATGACAGGTCTCAGTTCTAGTCATTCTGGGAAAGACGACATGTAAGCCCTAATGTGTATCCCTGTGAGCTACAGGTACAATTGTCTCACCACCTGCCTTTCATGAAGCACAGATCTAGACCATCTTTCCAAAAATGTTCAATCTACTTTTGCTTTTCTCTGCCTTTTTGACAATGAAACTTCTTCAGTCAGTGCTGGGTCTCCCCATCCTCCTGCCTCTATCCCACAGAACTACATCTGTTGTCTCTGGTTCCTTACCATGTTGTATTGCCTTGATATTCTGAAATCTATCTTCCATTCCTATTTACCTCAGAAGATCCATTAATTTAAGTAATATTTCTCAGTCACCCATTGGGTAGAAGGAATGGTGCTTGTCATTAGAGGAAATACAAGGTACATCTCATTTCCTGCCCTTCATCGCTGTGTAGTCTCTCTTCCTTCCTGCTCACAAACCTCCCGTTCACCAGCATCTTTTGTTACCCTGCAACATATTTCCCCAAAGTATAGCCCCTTACCTCTAGTCTGTGCTTTGGAAAACTCTTTTTTATATGGGTTCAACTATCAGCTTTCACCAGATGACATACTGTTCAGTATCTCTGGTCCTACAACCTGAGTTGAGCTCCAGATCTGTAGCACTTAAATGCTTTCTGGGAATTTATATTTTCTAGTCAACTATTCTCATTATTAGTATATATCCATCATTAACTCAGTGTATAATGTGGACAATGGTGTCCATTCTTCTTAACCCCAAAACAACTTTCTTTTCCCAATGGCCCTGTCCTATGTTATTTTTGTCCCATATTCTCACCTTTGAAATTTGAGATACTCATTTACTCATTCACACAAAATGTAAACTTAGTGAGCAAATATGTTATATTCAAAGCTGCCAATCTGCAGATAGTAGAAGGGCTGACGTTTTAGACCGTTATACTAAAAAATGGTGAGCACCGTCCTTGAGGCACACTCAAAATTATGGGAGCGGAGAGAGGAGAAGGACAGTTTGCCAGGCACGGAAAAGCAACTAAGAGGGGCAACATTTGCATAATGTGAGGCCTAGAAAATCATGGCTCACTTAAATAGTGACAGTCTGGTTGATGTCAATAGCGAAATGTGGCAGGATAGAAAGAAGATTTGAATACAGTCTGTGGGACCTGAGAGTCTCAGAGATTTTTAGCAGGGATTTGTCATGCTCATATTCTTATTTTTGTTGCTTCTGATTATCCTGTTGTTAAATGATTTTCAAGAGTGAAGGGCCTATAGGCAAGTAGATCATTTTGAAATTTGTAGAAAAAAAGTTGGCTAAACATAATACAGGCCCGGGTGAAGGAAATGGAGGTGGGATGAAGTTGGTCTAGTGGCAGGAGGCTTAGGAAATGGCGTGTGCTTATGTGTGTGTGTGGGGGGGGGGGGGGGGGCAGACAGCCAAGGGGTAGGAGAATCAAAAAGAATGCTGAAGTTTTCACCCTGAACATGTAAGTGAGTGGTGACATTGACATGAGGAACACAGGATAGAGAGTGGACAACATGATGGCAGATAAAGGATAATGAATTTGGGTTTTACATGATGAGGATAGAACTCTATGGAAAATGAGACTACAGTTAAAGGATAAGAACAGAGAGCAGAAACGACTGTCCAGAGGATGAGGAGATATTAGAAGAACCAGTTACCTTCTGTAATTGCTAGGTTTGGGTTGACAGCCAAGTGAAGATAATAGAACTAGAAACCCACTGGGTTGAGGGGTGAATTCAAAGCAGAGATATCAGCAGATGCAAGCTTCTTTTTTAAATTTGACAAGTTAAAGGGGGAGAGAGGATTAATGCTGCTTCAGGGAGAATTAAGTTCAAGGAAAAATTTCTTTGAATTCAGGACACATGAACTAAGGCAAGAAGGGACATTAAATATGGCGCTGTAGCTGCTGACAAGAATAGACATCATGAACTCAAGTAAAGGGATTAATTTCGGGAAAGTCATAGACAAGTGATGTCATCTATTTTCTAATCTTTTAGTAAATTGATTCTTGGATACCAGTGTATAGATTATTTCTCTTAGACCTTCTACTAAAGATTAAATATTCCATGCATTTTATGAAAAGTCTATATTTCATATTTAAGTGGTATTTTCTTTCCAAAGCAAACTTACAAGGGTGAGCTCATTTTTTCCCTATACCTATTCAAGAGTTTCTTTATCTGATTGGATTCATATAAGAATGACAAATTTAATCAGGCCTTGATACAACTCTATAAATTTTTGAAAATAGTGTCTTGACATGTTCAGCTTTCTCATTCCCCCTGGATATTTACATTGGATCAATAAGATTATAGGTTCCTGGAAAGCATACTTTCTGCCAGGAAGATCAAGTTTCTCCAAGAAGCAAGGTGAATAGAATAAATAATTGTCATGTTAGTCTTTAATCTGATAGTACACATACCTTCTACACATAAAGGATTATGCCTTCTCTTCATTTGACTCCACACGTGGCCACATGTAAACCACTATTTTCTTATCTCACCTAGTTATTCAGGAAGATTATTCAGTGTCTGTAATTCAACTGTCCTTTACAGGGAATGACATCATCATATATCTTAATCACTTTTGATGATTTTATATTTATTGTTCCAGTTAACGTTTCCATTGAGAATACCCCTTAGAAACCTCAAGTACAAACAGTAGCAGTGAAGGTCAGTGATTATCTATGTGAATAAAATGTTTTGGAGAACTTTTAAATGCTCAAGTTGAAATACAATTGTTTAATTTATTGAGAAAGTGAGATGGAAAAATCATTGCTTCTTAATAGACAAGATGTCATCATCCTCTCTTCTATAAATAGATACTAGTTAAACAGTAGAGACGTCAGGAGAAAATAAGACTAATAATGGGCATAATAACCATCATTGGCTGTGTATGTCACCCTTCATTTGGCAAGTATTTCCACATCTGCAATCTGATACTTTGATATTTTTCATAGTCCTATGGATAGAAACTTCATTCTGTTTTATAAATAAGAGATCCAAGGTCCTTAGAGCTTAAACTTTTTTTTTTTAAAGATTTTATTTATTTATTTGACAGACAGAGATCACAAGTAGGCAGAGAGTCAGGCAGAGAGAGGGGGAAGCAGGCTCCCTGCAGAGCAGAGAGCCCCATGCGGGGCTCGATCCCAGGACCCTGGGAATCATGACCTGAGCCGAAGGCAGAGGCTTTAACCCACTGAGCCGCCCAGGCGCCCCGAGCTTAAACTTTTTTAAAAGCACGGCAAACATTTTGATAATTTCTAGAACATTATCTTGGTAATGCCATTATAAACAAAGTGCTGGGAACTGTTGCAGCACAAACAGCTAAGAAATAGAAGTCTTGGGGCACCTGGGTGGCTCAGTGGGTTAAAGCCTCTGCCTTTGGCTCAGGTCATGATCCCAGGTCCTGGGATGGAGCCCCGCATCAGGCTCTCTGCTCAGCAGGGAGCCTGCTTCCTCCTCTCTCTCTCTGCCTGCCTCTCTGCCTAATTGTGATCTCTGTCTGTCAAATAAATAAACAAAAAAATCTTAAAAAAAAAAAAAAAAAAAGAAATGGAAGTCTCTGTTGACCAAATGCTTTTGACCAAATGGATTATTTGGCATTTTGAAAATTTGGCTTTTAATTATATTTTAAGAATAAAATTAGGGGCACCTTGGTGGCTCAGTGCGGTAAAACCTCTGCCTTCAGCTCAGGTCATGATCCCAGGGTCCTGAGATCGAGCCCCACATTAGGCTCTCTGCTCAGTGGGGATCCTGCTTCCTCCTTTTCT